ATGCGTGTGTGTATATGTGTGTGTGTGTGTGTGTGTGTGTGTGTGTGTGTGTGTGTGTATATATGTGTGTGTGTATATATATGTGTGTGTGTATATGTATGTATATGTATATATATATGTATGTGTGTATATATATATATATATATGTATATATATATACCTTGCTACGTGTACTGCGTTAGGCTAACCGAGACTTGTCATTTGCACTTATATATTGTTGCTCTTTTGTTAGTTTTGACTGCTTTTATTGTCCTCATTTGTAAGTCGCTTTGGATAAAAGCGTCTGCTAAATAACTAAATGTAAATGTAGATGCAAGTGCATCATTGTTGATGCCACATACAGAATAGTAATACAATTTACCTGGCAAACACAGCAGAGAAATGCCAAAAGAAACGCCACCACATTCCACAAACCATCATAATCATCCTGTAAAAAAAGTGTCATATTATAATTAAGACATTTAATCACCTACTTAATTATAATCAAATTAATTACACCACATTCCACAAACCATCATAATCATCATGTAAAAATGGTCATATCATAAATTAAAAATCATATTAAATAATACTCTTGCAGAAATATACTGCTAAGGATAAATGAGTACAATAAATTATCAATTAAAAAAAATAAATATTTGCATATTCAGAGAAATATACAAATATCATTATCAATAATGACTTTATGGTATGTCTGCCTGACTCTGTACCATACTGAGCATCAGCTGATAAAAGATATTTTTAGTATTGGCAAATACTGGATATTTAATTTAACTGGTCTTTAAAAAACAGCAATATGTTAACGACTATTAAACGTAATCTTTAGCTAAATTTTTCATAATGTACATTATAATGTTATGATGACTTCATTTACTTGCAGTATTTAAAAAGCTTTTTTTTTTTTTTTTTGGTATTTAAGTTTTATTTAATTAGACAAAATAGTATAGAATTTTAATTTTGGCCATTAATCATTTATCACCCATAACATCCCTAATCAAGATCATTCTGTCCCAAATTAACATCTTGTGATACCTGGAAGGTGTATTCAATAAGATGGACACCACGTATAAGGTTGAGGGCAGCACACATGATGTTAAGAATCAGTGAGAGGATCCCTGGTGCTGAGACTGGTTCCAATCTCTGACTTTGACCTTCAAAATCAACAAGGATCAAAATATATGTCCAACTTAAGATGCAGCCCTTATGAATTAACTGTATTCTTTACTAGAGCACACCTGATGCTGCTGTTTGTTCTACATGCCCATTGGCTGCTCCATTGGTGAGCGCCACGTCCTCCATGGTGAGAACCTGAGGGGGGCTGGTCCTGAGGTCTTCCCAAACCTCAGCCAGGGTGACCTCCAGAGATGGACCCCCTTTCTGGTTATAATGCTGCTGAAGTTTTTGAATGGCACTATCTGAAATAAAACCATCAGACAAACTCATGATCAGCTTATTAGTTCAACGACTTTGCCTGTTCATGGATTAAGTACAGTATAAATGACATGACATACGGTTTTAATAACTCATCTAATGTTTAATCCAATCACTTCTATCTGTTATCCTACCAAACTCCAGAAATGGGTATGGCCTGCTTGCCAGGGCCACTGCAGAGTTGTCAAAGCATGCTGTGAATTCCCAGCGCAAGTCTTCCAAGAAGCAGAAGGCCGAGGCAGCAGGGAGACTGCATGCACATACGGTCATGTAGGACACACCCTCGGATGAGAGGAAGCTGCAACACAGAGAGACCAATTAGTTAACAAATGATTTCACAGGGCGGCCACCAATTTCCTTGGCTTATCTTGGACTCTGGAACGCAGGTAAACAAGACCAGGGACATTCTTATCGTTCTTGTATCATTCTGATATGGCAAGACTTCATTTTATTCTCATGCATCTCATGATTTCAAAAGTTGTCAAAGGTTATATCTGTAAATATTATTTAACTGACCTGGGCTAAAATGAACAGTGGATGGTTGTATTTTTATTATCAAACATTAACCAAAGATTAATAAATACTGTAACAAAAGTATTGATCACTGTTAGTTAATTCTTACTCTTTAAAAAGTAAACAAATTAATACAAAATGTAATAAAATTAATTAAAATTTTACTTTTTAAAAAGAAATCCATAAATACAATCATAAAAATAAAAGTTCCATAAGGTTTTGCATTTTTCATGCAATGCTATAGAAGAACAATTTTTGGTTCCCCAAGAACCTTTTAGTGAATAGTTCTTAAAATAACCTCTTTTTTTTATATCTATGGAACCATTGAACAAATTATCTTTATAGTGGAAAAATGTTCTTTAGATTATTAAAATGTTCTTCACGTTAAGGAAAAATGGATCTTTAAAAAACTGTTTACTGAAAGGTTCTTTGGGGCACCAAAAATGGTTCTTCTGTGGTATCACTGTGAAAACCCACTTTCTGAATATTTAATTTTAAGAATGCATGAATGGATATTAAAGCTTCTTCATGGAACCATCGATGCCAATAAGGAACCTTTATTTTTAAGTGTTTTTAAGTTTTTAAGTGTATGGACAACTTGTGTCTAAAAAAAATCTGATTTCATGAATTTAAGCATAAGCCCTTTGATTTTTAAGATTTTAATATCATGAGAAATATCAGTAATTTAGCATACTAATTTATTAAAAACAATCAAACAATACTCAAGGGTTGCTCAAGGACACAAGACTTCCTGTATCACAGGTTTGAACCTGAAGACTTTTGGTTTCCTGCCCAGATCTTTAATTACCAAGAGACATTATTGTCCACAATAGTGCACTTACTGAATGTTGAGCTCATGGCCCTTGACTGTCCCTCTCTCTGGTAATGAACTCAGGGATTTTGAGATCACTTTTAGCTGTTGCTTTCTCTCCTGAAGTTCCTTGTTATGCAGGAAATCAGTGGAGGCGGAGAGAGGGAGTCCATCCCTGAACCGGACCACAAAGGCAAACAGGATCAGTGACATGCTCCTCGTGGGTCTCTATGAGAACACATCCTAAACACAAAACACAAAGAACATACTGATGATTATTATGAAATAGCAATTACAGCACTTGTTATAAAGCATGTCTGACAAAAAGGATGGAGAAAAGGGATGCTATTTTCAAAAGTATAGCTGCAGCTGTGGATGCAGTCTAAACTAGAAGTAAACATATAATGCAACATTAAAATGTTGTAAATGTTGTATTAGTAATAAACATTACTAATACAACATTTACTAAAACATTCATTATTAAAAACAAAGGTTGTATCTGTAAATTTCGTTTAATTGATCTGGGCTCACGTGAACTAACAACGAACAGTTGTATTTTTTATTAACTAATGTTAAAGGGGTCATATGATGCGATTTCAATTTTTCCTTTCTCTTTGGAGTGTTACAAGCTCTTGGTGCATAAAAAAAAGATCTGTATGATCCTGGGAGAGTAGACTACAATGCCGGCTGTTCTGACTCACAGTCTGTAAGTACGTTTTTTATATAAAATATATAAAATATATACTTAATAAATATACTTATAAGTACGCTTTTTTTTAACCTTAAACCACATAAACACATTTCATTACACCAAATACACAAAATAATGTTCTTTTTAGCAGCATAATATGACCCCTTTAACAATTATGGGCCCAGTTTCACAGACAGGGCTTTAGGACATTTAAGTAATTTTGATAAACGTGCCTTAGAAAAAAAAAACATTACTGGTGTGCATCTTGAGACAAAACAAAGGCACTGATATTATTTAAGATCAGTCAGTGCAAGTTTCTTTCATTTGAAACAGTTCAGACTTACATTTTAGTCTAGGACTAGGCTTAAGCCTTGTCTGTGAAACTGGGGGATGAATTATTAAATAGTGTAGATTATTAAATACTCTAACCTAATAGACCTTATTAAGGGTTACTGCTTAATTTTACTTATTTTCTCTTCTACACTACTTAAAAAGAAAACAAATGTCAGATATAGCATATTACAGTGCTATTCAGCATGTTTCATTGAAAGTAAATTTGCTTAGCAAACCAACTATCCACGACTGCAAACTATTTTAAACGCAAAGATGTTGCATTCATTTTAAAGAGTTTTAATAGTAAAAAAAGATTCCACCACTGGGTTGGTAATGTACGATATTCTAACCACTGGTTCCAATTACATTGATCACATTTGCAAAGTTTGGATATAATGTATTATTAAATGTGGACTGGATTTCATCTGCCTGTTATTTCAGTGGTTCAAATCATTCTGCTAGCAGGTGCAGATGCGCTTTACCATCCCTTACCTTACAACAGCTCAGTACATTTACGCTGAGTATGTGAAACAGTGAATTTGAAATGCGCAGGAGTATAACAACTATGTCTCAAAAATGTCTCAAGATAATTATTGCAGTTATTTATCACTTGATATTAAGAGGCAACCAGGCTTTTTGTTTGTCTCTGTGAATTATGGGAAACAGGAGCGTCAACAGCAGCCGTTACTTCAAAATAAAAGTCCTTACGTTGAGTTTCAAGATGGCAAATGCTGGTTTATTCTCATCTGTTCAATTTACAGACAGAATAGACATAAAATGAATAATAATTATTAAAATAATTACCGATTAAAAACTCAAACATTCTTTACATTAGTCAAGAAATATAGCATGAATAATATTAACTTATATAAATCATTTTCGATATTCCCAGGGCAGTAGGATCAAGCATTTTTGTCATTTGTAATGCTGATGGTTTCCGACAGTCGGCGGCTGTGCAGCATCTCAGAATACAAAGTAGATAAACAGCGTTGCCATGTCATCTTTTTATAAGCGGCTTATACACACAAAAAAAACCTAATCTCGTGCGTTGCGATTTTTAGGATTATTTACAGAATACAGTCAAATTGGGGAGGAAAGATAGGTGGTGATATTTATGAAAATTATTACATTTTCCATAGTTCATACACAATTATCCCGCTACCCTTTCACCGCACCCCGCAAACAAAACTAGCTTGCTCGATTCTCTTGAGTGATCTGGCAACAGGGTAGGTGCCACGGCGGATAGCAGAGAGAGCGGGTTTAGTTAGTTAAAAGCTTTTTGCCCTTTAACAATCTACACAGGTACGTCTAATGCAATAAAACGATACGTTTGTATCAGTACACGAATAGGTTTATATCTGAGTCATACGAATTTTTTTATTTAAAAATGGCCCGTGAAGATTCCTTTCCGGGTTCCTATAAAACGTTGCGTTACCAGCCAAGTTAGCTTTAATGATAAACAATGTTAGCCAGCCAGCAACCAGACGACTTTTGCCCCAAAACATTTAATCGCAGTATTTACAGTTATTGTTATTTTTTAATAATCTTAAGTAGAAATTGTTTTTTGTTTGACTTCAGTCGTGAGGTGTTGTTAGCTACCCGTGCATCTGGTTAGCAATTGGCTAACAGTCTAAACGAACACCTCATTTTGCTTCTCTGTGGTTCAACAGTGGTTCAGTTTAAGTTCATTAATTGACATCACAATCAGACTTCATTTGATATTTCGTATGAGGGGCGTGCTTTTGATTTTAGGCTCGGCACATTTATTTGAACCAGTGCATTGCTACAGTCATATTGGAGTAAATGAATGTGGTATTGTGTTTATATGTTATGTAGTGCAATTAGAAATCGAAAGTATGCCTGGTCTACATTGTCTAACCTGTCTGGATTATAACTGCAGATATTGTCTGTAGATGTAATGAGTGCTCTAACCCCGTGTAAGGCTATGCTCATTGAAAATAATTATGCAACCCATGGATTTAAATCTGCAGAAGTCATGATGTAACTGAACGCTGTTGAATATCCATGAATGCATTAGCAGATGTTTTGTTATGAACATACAATACTGCAATAAGTGAACTTGAAGAGAATTGATTTAAAGTTGTCAGGTTAACTTCTAATCAATCTTAAAATTTCACTTAAAAAGCAAGCTATTCCAGTTCTTTTGGAACTGGGAGTGTCTCTCTTGTATTCAAAAGTGTTTTCCAGATCTAACACATGGAAATGTCCTCTTTCTCCTCCTGTGACATTCACTCTGACATTTGCCATTTCCCCAAGCAGACAGCCTGTGTTAGCAATCAGAGGACTGATAAACAGTTATTTTGATATGGGAAAGCAGCGTTTTGGGTGAACTGTTCCTTTAAAGTTTACCATTTTTCAATGCATGTTATTGATTTTATTATGAGCGATTCATCCTTGCATATGTTTTTTTTTTTTTTTTTCCCTTGCGTTGCTTAATCTCAAAATCTTGCTACAGACCTTGCATATGTTTTTTTTTTTTTTTTTTTACCCTGCAGTGCCTAATCAAAATCTTGCTACAGATTTCTCTTGTGACGTATACAGTACAGGACTTCTCCAGTCATTTAGTCTGCTTAATCGCTGCCCTTGCAAGCTCTAGTTCATCTGCCTCCATTTTTGAGTGCAACGCCCACATCTCAAAATCCAATCAACAACTGATGCATAGAACCAAGTCCCCCCCCATGAAAAAGATCTGTCACTACTTCTGTTTTGGCACAACTTTAGAGATGTTACTATTTTCCATATATTTTAATATACATGCTTAGTTCTTGTTTCGTTTGTTTGGGCCCTTACTAAACTATGTTTGGAGCTCCTCCCCAAACGAAAGCTCAACTGTCTCTAAACACAGCCCAAAGATAGCACACATCTGGTTTAACCAGCATTCCTAGTTTAGGATGACAGCACACATCACAGCAACAATGTCTCATTCGTCACACTAGGATGGTGTCCAACAGCAGACCCAGTGACAGACAAAGCACTGCTCAAAAAAGGGGGTGGACGTTGAGGTTGGAGGGGCATGCATAGAGATTTGCATTTCATTGGTTAAGCGAAACACCAATCTCAGTGTCTGACTTTCTGTTCACTTTCTGTTCATATGGCCTGGAGAGAAACAGTATCTTGGAAGATATCTGAAATGGAATGTATTTCTTTCGGGTGTTGGTGATTTGGGAATACAGGATCTAACAGTCTTTTGCTGTGATTTTACACTACAGGAAGCCCACTCTTTACAAAATGGGGGTGAAAGATCGCCCTCAGTGCTATTTTGATGTGGAAATCAACAGGGAACCAGGTAAGATGTGACAGTGATTTTTATTGGGTTGTTCTGAAATAGTCTTGTGTGAAGGTCAAACTGTTAAAAGTAGAAGTTTTGATAGAAAAATGCTTCAAATGTTTGCTTTTAGATTACTATTTATGTATGTTTGGCTTTCTATCGTTTTCAAAATCACCGAAAAACCAACTACAAAAATCATGTTTAGTAATGCAAAAAGTAGTCTATAAAAGGGGGTCAGATGGGTGATCTTTATCGTAGTAGCATGTGGTATAATCTGAAATGATCAAGTTTTGAAGTTTTAATAAAAGGTAAATATTTAAGCCAGTTGTAAACATCCAATAGCGAAAGTGAAACATTATATTTGTATGTTTTGTAAAGCACTTTGGTAATGGCAGTTCAAATACCTGTGCCAGTGTGTGAGAAGCTGTTGTGGCAGTCCACAC